AAGCCACGCGTCCGTGAGGACAAGTATCACCCACTGAAGTGCAGATACCGAAGAGTTCGTCCCTTAAGTGGTGGCGATGTATCGTAGGCTATCTAAGTATCGTAGGGTATAGTAGGGGTGCGCACCACCCAGCCTATAGGAGAGGAAAGATGAGTGTTTTTGTTTTGGAACGCCAGCAGTGTTGGGGAGTTTCGACCTAATGTCGCGACTTAGGGTCGAGCAACAGGGGAAAACCAAATGCTGGGGGCGTTTGACTTATCTTACCGAAGCGATGGTGAGCTAGGCTCAAACCTAAGGCTAGGGACAAGTAAATGCATTAGTTAGTAAGGTAAGAAAGGAATACAACTGGGGGCTTACTGACCTAGGGACAAGAGGTCGAAACTGAGGTCCCTAGGGCAGCAGAGGCCGGCTTATATACAGGGGAGGTTAAGGGCAGGCTGTGCGCACTGGTCCGTGCACAGCTGGTCCGTGCACAGCATGCCGACGCGGCCCCGGGGGCCGGTGAGTCAGAGCGGCTGTGACAGCGGAGCCCGAGCTATGCCGTGCCCTGCCATCCTATCTAATCTTATCGTACAGTAGATAACGACGTGTCCATATCAGGCAGGTAGTACAGAGGTTGCGGGTTTGAGCCCGCGAAAAGGAAAAAATCAAAAAAACGGCTAGACGCCATGCCAACTTGTGACATCCCCTGTCCATGATTGGAGGCCAAGTCGGAGTTATTGTGCATTCTGATGACCTTTGATGAGCCTTTATGCACTATGCTGCTGGACACAAACCTTATATGGGCTCAAGGTCTGTGCTCATTATCCAGGGATCCAATCACGGACCTTAGCTCAGGCTCTAATGTGCCAGAAATTGAGCTCGCGACTGCACCAATGGCTGTGGTAGACCGCAGAACACTGAAACCCTCCACCGAGTACACACAGAATCACATTGATATGGCTTTCATTGAACTGTAAGTGAAATGTGCATTTCTGAAGATGGCAATGTCAGTAGGGCCTGATTCTGCTGAAGCCGCAGAGCAAAGGCATGATCTGGCTGCAATCCATGAACATCTGGGACCCGCCACTCATCGACCCCAAGTGTGTTGTTTGCAATGAGGTGCAACATGCGCTAAGGTTGTGGCTTCTGCCCAGCTACCTCACTATGGAAAGCGACATGACCTGCCAGATCTTGTTTCCCCTAGGCAGCCTACAATAGAGTGCCCTTTTCAATGGTCAAAGGATGGGCTCTCTAAAGGTCTGCTTCAATATGCACCCTCCAGACCATAAGACAGCATTTCAAGTGTGCTAGTGATTGCTGACTGATGGCTGGGCCCTGCCAGCTGATGGCCATGTGAACTTACCATAGTGTTGGTTGCGAGCTGTGGCCTGGCCCGAGATAACCACTGCCTTTCGTTGAAGCTCAATATGTCACATCTATACTTACTGTGATGCATGATTCTCGAACACCGTGCAATCTGCTATGGCCATACCAATATTGTGTCCCAACGGAGACAGAGCTGAAGTGAAAACAGGCAACAAAGGGATTGGATTCAGATATAGAATAAAACAACAATATTTGATGGCATTTGTTAGTGTAGGTATCACGCAGGACAGGTGTATTGTAGCGAGCCCATGCAATACAATGTGTTTCGGAGATGAAATAGCTTATGTAACTCCGTTTTACTGTCGGGACCCCCCAAATTGAACAAGACTATGCCAGACCTGCCTACAAAGCCTGTATTCAACAAGTTCTGGCCAACAATAGGTACATTCAAAATTGCTGCTTAAATTCCGCTGGAAAACAAGCAACTTTTTGCTGCTTTTGAGTGCCCAAATGTGGCTAAAAGTGTCACAGGTGACTAATCGTGAAGCCATGATTTGATCATGTTTTCAGTTTGCAAAAGACTGACCAGCCAATCAGGATGGTGAATCATGCAAGCATGACATGGCCGTAAGCCAGAATCTGCAAGTGCTTGCACCGAGCAGTCGCTTATTTGTCACTGTTTGAGGCACTGCATGCAGGAATCAATTTTCTTGCACAAAACATTGAATCAAAATTGGATTAGAAGCAAATAGCACTTATTAAATCTTATTGATGTAGAAATTGAATGGAAATTGAAGAAAGATGCAAAGAGACAATGGAAAATGGATTACATAATTTATTTTTCTTCAATTTCATTTCTGTTTTAGGCGCCAGAATACTGATTAGGTAAATTCACTTTTTCTTCGATTTTTATTTGATTTTTGTACCAGAAAATTGAATACCACATGCAGTGAGGAGGGGAGCTCATATTCTGCTCGCTGCTTTGGACCACTTGAATGCCACTTGTTTTCCAGCAAGATATAAGCAGCAATTTTGAATGTATCTAATGCCTACATATGCTTATACAATATTTACCATCTAAATGGGTTTGTACTTGTGTGAACCTTAACCCTTTCTGGGGTTTGCAAACCCTAACATGACACCCTTATGCCCTGAGTAGCGTGCCTGATCCCGGCACTGCATGCGGTATTCAATTTTCTAGTACAAGAAATAAAATAAAAATCGAAAGAAAAGTTAATTTACCTAATGAGTACTCGAGCGCCTAATATGCAAGTGAAACCGAAGGAAAATCGATTATGTAATCCATTTTCCATTGTCTCTTTCAATTTTCCTTTGGTTTTTCTTCAATTTCCATTCAATTTCTACATCAGTAAGATTCAATAGGTGCTATTTGCTTTTAATTCAATTATGATTTGATATTTTGTGCAGGCACATTGATTCCTGCATGCAGTGCGGCCCTTCCTTGGGGTTCGCAAGTGCTTTGTAATCAACTCAAGGCAGCCACGAGTCTCACGGCAAAGTCATTGATTGATATTTGTCGTCTTCAAGATGCGCACCATCATGGTTGTTCAGCAGCCATTTCTGTCAAAGGTGACGTATGAGTAGTGTTGCTTGTGTCTCCTAGTTTGTGACTTCCTCCTCATGTACCTCGTGAGGTTGGGGCACGCGCCCTACGTTGCCATATTGATACATAACTTCGATTGCCATGCCGGATGTGTTCCTTATCTCTGGTGCCTTCCCTGAATGTACTCAGCTTTACGTATTGATCCCGCATTCTCGACGTTCCATGAGCATATTTGGACAAGCCAGCCACATCTTCGCCGGTATTCAAAAGCCTCTTGGGATCGATGGTTAACCATCTCTCCTCCCCCTACGAAAGTAACTATTCTGCAACTGATCGTTGAGCATAGCACAGACACGTCTACGCGACATCATCCAGACGTAAGTGGAGCAAGTCCGAATTTAACCTTTCGTGCTAATAGTAGGCCTTCGGTTGTTCCGGTGGGTAGTAGGCATCATGGAATACTGCAAGAAATGTTCGCGCTGGTTCGTCAGCATGGCTGCCCTCCAAGACCATCAACAAAACTCATCAAGACACGTTAGAACGATCCCGTGTGATGGGTGCAATGCAGTTCGTCGCGCTCGAGAGCTCTCTGTCTAGGCTGTTGATACTCATGAAGACATTTGTAGTTCTTCCATACGTGGAACGCATTGCAGCAGCATCGACTAGCCAAACACAACTACTGCGCTCCTTGTGAACGGCACTTCCGGAGCGCGCAAGGCCTCGCTATGCACTTAGATTCCCTCGCCCATCGGCTGAGGAGATTTGTGTGTCCAGGACGTCATTGCAGCAGACGCTGTAAGTGTGCCGCGGGGCTGGTCGCGCACCTAGAGTCAGGTGCATGCGCGTCCGGAATGGATCGCAGCAGTGTAAACAGCCTCGCTGTCGACATCGACCAATCGAACATCATCACAAATCCCACGCGCCTTCTCAGCTACCATGATGGCGTTATCACCACTGGTACTGTCATCACGGCTTATGCGACACCGCGCTCCTTCAATGGCAGATCCTTCGAGTGCTTCATGTGCCACAGACATTACCAGACGCTCGAGGGTCTCAATGAGCACCTCGCGAGCCCAGCTCACGACGAGCAACTCTATCGATGTCCCCAGGCTCTGCATGGCTGTGGCACAGAATTCCGCACCCTCAGCGCTCTGTGCCAGCATGTAGAGAGCGAGAAGTGTCGTATTAGGAGGTTCAATGCCCCAATGCAAAAGGTCATCGAATCGATGGCGAGCGCATTGAAGGGGTTGATCCTCTGAAAGGGAGGCGACAATCTTGCCTAATGTCGTGGACATGGACTAGCAGCGTTGGATAGCATGCGTGGGTGCTGACAGTCTTCGTCACTTGATGCGCGTCTGCCATGTACTAGTACTCTACATGCAAACTTGAAGTTTGTCCTCTTGACCTGGCTTTTTGACTAATGAATGGTGCTCAAATACGGTGTTATCTGTACTACAGTATCTACTGCTTCCGTGCAGTCCACGCTCTCGATATCATCGTGGTCCGAATTTGGAGTTTGCCGTGGGCGTGCGGCTGCGCATCTTGTTGGGAAGACGGTCGCAGTGGACTCGTGACTTCCTCGAGGCCTCTGGCTTCTATCGTTCGACGGCTTTAAATGGCATTTAGAAGACTTCCTGAATGACAAAGCAAACTATATAATGACTGCACGCCCTTCGTACTATCCTCCGCCGCTTTTGGTCTTCCTCATCTCTTCTTGTGAGTCTTCACGCATTGTAACTGCTCGTGGATTGAGATCAAGGCACGGATACCCAGGTGCTCAACATGTCTTACTGCGAACGTTGTCGTGTCGAATTTGTTTCGGACCATGTGTTATGGCAGCACGAAGCGAAGTCGCCAAAACACAACATCTGCGATGCGTGCAACGAAGACTTCAGTACAGCACGCGCTTTCAATCAGCACTATGCGGAGTGTCACGAGGAGCGTCATTGCCAGTGGTGCCACATGTATTTCGACAAGTCTCTTGCACTGATACAGCATCACCGCACTCAACATCGCTATTGCAACATATGTGACTTGGTTCGTATCAGAACCAGGACTGGATATCATTGTTCTGACGACGCACGACTTTCATGACAGGCTTTCCGCGATGGTGAAGCAATCGAAGCTCACAACGTCTCTGCGGAGCATACCCTGATATCTTGTCCGGGGCGCAAGTGTAACCGTCGCTTTGGCTCGGCAGCGGCCCTTATCAGTCATCTCGAGTCTGGTGCATGCAGTTCTAAAATGAACCGCAACAAGATCAACCAGCTCGCCGTCGACCTGGATAGGACCAACGTCATCACAAACCCATTGCGTCTCCTCCGCGCTCCAGATGGGTACGCCGCACCTCCCCACCCTATTATCAACATCGCTACCGAGCTGTCGTTTAATGGGCAAGCCTACGAGTGCTTTTTGTGCCATCACGAGTTCAAAAAGCTCGAGGGGCTCAATCAACATCTCGTGAGCCCCGTCCACGAGGCGGCAATCTATCGGTGTCCACAGCAATGGCAGGGGTGCAACACTGAGTTTCGGACGCTCAGTGGCCTCTGCCAACACGTGGAGAAGCAGAGATGCGCAGTCCGTCGATTCAACAGGCCTATGCAGAAGGTCGTTGAATCGATGGCTAGCGCCATGAAAGGGCTGGTGCTCTGAGAGGATTATCGAGCCGCGAGTTGGGGAGAGGGCTTCAGGAGATTTCGGTTTCTTCGACATCGCGCAGAGCAGCGACGTCGACGAAGCCTAGGTCTAGGCGTCTCACCAGAACTCAGGCGTCTCACCAGAACTCAGGCGTCTTTCGGTCGGCTGCCCGTGAGGTGGCTTCTGTGGCGTATCCAAATCGACGATTTGTATATCAGTGGTCGCTATACCGATGTGCAATGCCCCTGTATGTATTTGTCTTTTGTGCTCATCTTGTCATTGATTCTGGCCAGTGCATTCTGACGCGATGCGAAGATGCACTGCTTTTGGCTAATCCTTGTTCTGGTCATTGTGAACGCCTTCATAATACATACATACATGGCTGTACTCATTGTGTCACAAGACGTATCTGAAATCACGATTCTGTATATCTGTGAGGTACTCCTGGACCAGAAGAACGTCAAACTCGGCAAGCACAATCAAGGAGGGAAGTATACCTTTTGTACTTTCCGCTCGACGCGCGAGCCATCTGGAAGAGTGACTTCGATGTACACATCGTCGTACTTTGTGTCTGGTGGCTCCGCGTCCCTCCGCTTGTTTTCGCGCCACAGTAGGAAACGAATGATAAGCAGAATAATCATACAGCACACGTAGCAGATCCCGATGACGGTCCACGGGACATGGTTCCTGTCCAATTGCCCGCGTTTTGAGTCAGGATCCTGAGTGACAGCTGCTGACGCGGCTTACCTTGGGACGTATTTAGCTTGCCACATGAACGGCCCGGCGGCGTTGCCCACGCAGTAGGCGATGAGCATTATCGCGTTCACAGTGACTTTCTTCGTGTGTCCCGCCGTGACATTCGTAATCCAAGACAGCTGAAGCACGAACGCGGTCACGCTGATGGCTATTCAGGTGGCATTAGGTTCGTATCGGTGCAAGGGCATAAACCCACATACTGGTCATCCACTGTCCAAATAACAGCCCAACCTTGTCCGTCCAAGGGAGGAGATTCACGAGCAGGATGCCGAGGAGTGTGGAGAGGAAGTAGATCACGCCGACGTAGGCCCGTGCGTTGGTAAAATATGACGCGATGTGCACACCTGTGAAGATCGTGACGATCTCGACGACGCCGCTGACCATCGCGAGCAGCGTCGTCTGTAGGCTCGTGAAGCCAAACGACGCCATGATGATCTGCTGCTGGTTTGTCAGGCTGTTCAGCACGTTATCCAGTGAGGAGAAGAGCGCGAAGAGCCACGTCTTAGGGTCGAGGAGCGCCTCATAGAACCTGGCGCGACACTACGAGTTGGAACTAATCTGACGCAAAACAAAATTGAGGACATACTGTTCCTTTTTGAAGCGCTTGTTCTCGACACCCGTTTGGTTGCCCTGTTCGGTTGACCTGTGTTAGAACGTATACTGCTGCGGAATGCTATCGTGTACCTTGATGCGTTGTACAGCAGTGACTCGCTCCTCTGGCGCGAGGAACCATGCAGCCGTAGGGGAATCGGGGAACATGAACCTATGGCCTAGGTCAGCTCACGTCGTGTTTAAGCCTGCAGCACGGACCAGAACGCGACCGCTGTAATCAGAGTCAAGAGGCCGGTGATGATCACAAGCCTACGATAAGAGTGAACAAGCGCACTAGACAGGAGGAGTACAAACATACCATTGCCACGGCTGAAAGCCTCCCGTTTTGGAATGCAGGACACCAAAACTTATGAAACCAATGATGATCTGGGCTGGTCCAGGATATCAGAACGAGACGGCCTAGTACGCGCTGGATGGTGACATTGCTCACCTGTCCCGTTCATCAAAACTGCCAGAGGTTGCGCAAGTAAGCTTTGAGGACGCTGGATAAACAAACGTGCTTACACCAATAGCCCACGCGAATGGTCTGCTCTTTCCTTGTGTAGAACATAGACGTCACGATCATGAAGCCGGCCGTAATGGAGCCCTCGCACATGCCCAGAATGAACCGACATGCCATTAGTCCACCAAAGTTCTTGCATGCTGCATGGGAGCATAGAGCGATTCCCCAGACGAAGATGTTGATGCTGTTGACACGTCAGCGACGTCAGACTGACAGGTGAGTTGTGCCCTGACCTCATCCATTTTCCGACTGGGAATCGCTGGAGGGCCAGATTCTGTGGATACTCGAATGCGAGGTAGCTCAGATAAAATATCGTTCCAAGCCTGGTATCGGGCGTTGAAAAACAACGACCATCAGATTCGGTGTAAATCATACCAATTATACCTATGGACACATAATCAGCAGCTGCGCGTGTCAACTCCCTGAAACACTCACTCGTTCGTCGTGAGATGCGTAGCGGTCCTGAAAGTGTTTGATGTTACCTCGACTGTGAGCGCATGGCAGAACAGTATACGCACTTGATTCCAAGAATCGCAGAACTCCCTAGCGTTGTCTTGTCCATGAATTGAATCCAGTACAGGACTTCATGGCAACGATCGATCAACACTACAGATCAGGAATCTAATGTAGAAGTGCATACCACACATTAAAGGCATTATGTGCCGGTCGATCTTCTTCCGC